CAGTGTCGGGCATCCCTTTATGGGCGAGACGCGAGACCCCCGCTGAAGCGAGGCTAAGGGGCACCACTAATAAATTGGCATTGTGCGCTATCTTGCAAGCTCCGTAAATGGGGTGCGCCGAGGTACGAGCGGCAAGAAAGTTTACCGGAGCTGAGACGGTTCCTGGAGCCGGTAAGGCTTGAAGTGCTCCTCTTTGCGTGGCCGAGACTCGTTCCTCAGGGTCGGAGAGGTTTTCATCGAAGAAAGGGCGACGTTTGTCGTTATTAGAATTCTTGGACGAGCCGGGTTCCGAGGAATCCGTTGTGGCAACATCTGAGAAAAAGCCTTTTTCAGATGCTGCGCTTTCATAATAAATCGAATTTCTACCCGACCATACTCGATGCCTGTTTATGTTTCAAGCCTTGGTTTTAATCCGCTACGAATAAATAAAGAGACAAATATTTCTGAAGGGAAAACAAGCAGAGAAAAACAATTGACGATTTTTTACTCGAATCGTAAATAATCAAACAAAAGTGTGTTATTGTTAATTTTCAAACTCAGACTTGGATTTAGATTAAAAAAAGAAAAAGAAAAAAAGATGAATAAATATTTCCAAGATAAATAGAAAGCGCGAAAATCTTGTTTATGAATTATACGTACACGAATATAAGTTATAATAGTTGGCGCGAAAGTCTCTCGTGTGAAAATTGCCAGTCCATTATCGCCACAGGACTTTTTACTCGTTCCTGTGTATATAACGCTCGCGCGGTCAGAAAATAGCGATTGCCCGTGTATTCAGAATATCTGCCCTACACCGAGAATAGAGTGCGCAATTTACTTTGGCGTTATATCATCCGACACGTGAAAACAAAAGTACTATAGAGGGAAGGTAGGAAGTGGGGATGAATAGTAGCAGCGGAATGATGCGGAATGATTCGAGCTCTTTCTCCGAGCTACCGATAAAATTGCAAAGCGGTCGTTCAAAGCGCCGGAGCAATAATCGATTACACAACCGACAAACACGTTGAAAAAATTATTTATTGTAAAATCGAAAAATTTCTTCGTGCGAGCAAATGTAACGAGATAAATTAAACGGAGGATTAAATAAAAAAAAAACTGTTTCGACAAAACGACACAGCTACTATACTTGTACAAACGGAGGATAAAATCTGTTCCATTACAACCGCAATCTGGCTCGATCTACACGCATTCTTGGCTAAGGGATCGGCGACCCGACGTCCCATCCGATCATTATTGACTTTCTTCGTCCGCCGAGCTTCCACTATAAAGCCATTTCTGTCATTCGATGCTAATACCGGCCGCATCCTTACAAGGCTGCGTGGATGTGCTCTCGAACCGAGGCGACTAGTCGCCGACTCGATCGTGGGAGCCTTCCCCCTGGACGCGCTTCTTCTCGGCCCACTCTCGCGCTCTGTCCCACCTTGCAAAAAAATCGTGTTTCTCGGCTGTTTGGAGCGAGATCGAGCGTGACGGTTGCGGTCGTGCTCACTTTTCATTTTCTTCGAACCGACTCGCAACCTTCCTTCTCCCCCCACCATCTTTTTTCACCACGGCCACGTTCAAGATTTAAGATTAGATCGCGACTATGAGATGTGTATAAATCGAATTTAATTCACTCGCAATTTGTAAAATTTTTAAGTTTAACGTAGATCGTTATTTGCGCGTTTCTTCAATTTTCAAAGAAATTTGAAGAAAATGATAGAAGATTGGGCTTGGATACTTATCTGGATGCGAACAAGTGAGAACAAGCAATTTCTACGAAGTATGAGTGTAGTCGAAGTTTTCACGATACTTTACCGTGTTGGAAAGATCGCGTTGGATCAGGTGCGTCAAGTACACTGCTCTTGACGTGTTTTCTTGCAGGGTCATCCAATCGAGTCTACTATTTACTCCGAGGTATAAACGCTTCTGGCCCTTGAACCGAGAAGACCGGTTCCAAACACTTTTTTCACACGATCCGTTAAAAATTAACGCCATTGCTCGATGACTTCATATTCCTCGATTCTCCACAAATTCTTTTTGCTTTTCCCAAAGAAATTAACAAGTATTTTTCATCTTTCTTCTTTCCTTTTATTTTTTAAAATGGTAAATATAATCATCATATTTCACTTTCGAAAATCGCTCAATCTTGATTCACTGGCTTCAACTCGCTCTTTCTAAATTTAGCGTAAATCGTTATTTGTTCAATTTTGAAAAAAATGATAAAAGATTACTTGACACTATTCGTCAACGCGTCTTTTTTTTTTTATGGTTATAAAATTTTCTTATACTCTTACGTAATACAGTCGTCTACTCGCAATAATAAATTGTTTATCGTTCAATCCTTTTGTTATTTATCTACTCGTCGAACGATTTAGATACCTGTCTATCAAAAGTTTCTTAAGAGTCCATTACTCGCATCACTTGAACGCGCGTTAAAAATAATCATGAACACGAAATCAAGCATCAAACAATGTTCCATTCTCGTCGAAACATAACACGGCGTAGAAAACCATGCTTGTTACCTTCGTTCATCGATGTCCATCATGCTGCGAAGAGAATCCAATATACGCGCTTGCAACGAAGAAGGGATCAACCTTGAACTCGGAATACACCTATCCCGGACCTATCCCATGACGAGACACGCGATATGCAGAGAGTTGAAGAAGGAGACGAACACGTGCACCCAGTGTAAATATTTAGCCTTTGAAACGTTTGCACGCTGCGTGTGGTTGCTGCGTTAACTTTCTTCCTCCTCTACTTTTGTCCTCCGTCTTCTCCTCGAGGCTCGATTGGGCACACGACAATCTCGACGAGTAAATATCGAGCACGAGTCTGGATCGTAAATGGATTAAAAAGCAACGATTTTCGAAGACGTGACAGGCCTTTGATTGATACGTCTCGTCGCTTTATTAAATGGCCAACTGTTATTTCGCCTCGATGACCGTGATACTTGTGATCACTTTTTGCCCGATACGTGCCCAGCTTTCCAACACGAATCAGACGCTTATTTCCATTTTTCTTTTTATATCGCTACTTTCGGCACGTGAAAATCCGTGAATCGTTGTAATTATTTTACGTACATGGATGTTTTTATATACGGGTTCCAAACGATTGGGTCGTAAGAGAGTGAAGAATCAATTTTGAAAACGAAACTTCATGTTTGTCAATATAAATACGGATTAAGATTCGAAATATATTTATATAAAATAACAGGGATCTCTATCTTTTATTAACCAAAAAATCTCTCGAAAGGAAGACACTTCGATAGCACCAAGAGCAATATATTTATCAACGAAGTACTGTTCATTGGTGGAAAAAAGTCTCGCGAAAGGATCTGATTGGTTAATTTAGAAAGAAATGCCTATTTTTACACGTATTTTTCTAATATAATATTTATCGTATATATATATAGTAATCTAAATTTCGATGCATTAGCATAAGCATAGAATCCAGAATATTCTAACATTCGTACGCATAAGACACATATAGATAACATTATATCAAAATAATTAATAGTTTGAGAAAATATTTTAGTTTCCAATCTTAGATAATTATCCTAACTTCATGATATAACTCACTAGCTCTTCTGTTGTGTGTAGCGTGCGGTGTCAGGCGTTTGTCAACAAAGCGTTCGACAAAGAATATCACGTTTCAATGTCGTCGCTTCGTACATGAAAAAAAACAATAACAAAACATTAAGAGTGGAAAAAGAAAGTGAGCAGAATGGTTGGATTCGAAAACAGATGTATTCATCCTTGATATTAACGAGGCAGATTTCCACGATTCGACTAGTTGATTGCGGGGCATCTACATGCGCGGAGCTCGAGGCAGCAAGAGGATCGGATAATTGAGCGTCCGTTTCCTGCGGATTCGAGCGTTTCAGAGCGAAGTCCTTAGAAGGAAGCGGAGGCCGGCGGTATCGCGGGCATGCGATCTGTCTTTATGGACCGAAAGTGGGCGTCGGTCTGGGCCTCACAATGGCCGCGTAACGACGACACACAACGGGGACAACGACAAAGACGGGCCCGGCCGGAGAGAATGAGGGACTCCTCCTGTCTTGTTAACTCGACGAAACAGGGCGACGCGTGTCTCTCCTGTGACGCGGCCACGTCCGACCGACGCCACGTTCGGGATGCGAATGATAGTCCTCGTGAGTTACTGTGACCACCTTTCGACAAATTATTAAAAGAACCAGAAAAGTCGAATGGTCGCGTTTATTTTTCTGCATGGACGAGATGGTGGTCTTGCTTCAAATGCGATAAACAGTGAATTTTTATATTTCCATTTTGATTCTTTCTTTTTTATTCTCCGGATCGAGAAATCGATGTTTTTTTTTTCAACGAGAAGTGAATTAAATTTATAAAAAGAAAAATTGTTGCAGCGGCGATATTTCGTTGGCTCGATATCGCTCGATTGTTCTGTTTAACCGTTGAGAAATGAATTTCATTCGATCGCGCGAGAAGCACAGTTTTTTAACGAGAAATACCGAGATACGTAAATCTCGAGCGTATTAACGGACGTATCTTGGATTATTTGTTGGCGCGGCGGGAAACGTGATAAAAGTCGGATGGATTGTGTGCAATCCGCTCGGTGAATTATTCCATACGATTTCTGCGTGGTTGGAATTAATTATCCGGTAGAAAATTCAACGTACACCGCGGGGGATTCTGGCAAACTGCAGGGTATCTATGAATCTCTCTGTCCTCTATCTCGCTTTCCACTATTGCACTCACGGGATAAAATGGCTCCAAGTATCGTAGGCGTCTTGCACACCATTGGCGATCCTTTTATAAGGCTAGACATCGCGTTGGACGATCGGAATATTTCTCCTTCTCGCGAAGATGAACGAATCGACCCCCCTACACCTTGAAAATTACTCGCGTATTCAAATATCCTTCTTTACTAATTGTTACTTCCTGGAAAGCCAGACTTGAAAACGAATTTATGATACCCGTAATCTGTGGACGAGATTAATCATTACAATTTTATTTAATGCGATGCGTTCTCTGTCTCCGTAGGTGTATCAAATAGAATACGTGATAGTGAAGGCGGCGAATTCACCGAGGCCGGCCGCCTGGATTTTGGAGAGATCTGTCGACGGTGAAAATTTCCAGCCGTGGCAGTATTACGCGCCCAGCGACGAAGAATGTTGGACGCGTTACTCCGTCCCTCCTGTCACGGGAAAACCGATTTTCATCGGTGACGACGATGTGATATGCACCAGCGTCTATTCCAGACAGACTCCTATGGAAAACGGAGAGGTGAGGCTAATTTCATTCGATCCCTAAAAGAAAACTTGCTTGAGTCCTCGCGTTTAAGATTGTTTGAAGAGAAGTTTGAAGAATATCGAGCCACTTCTTTCTTACCCGATGCGTTTCGTTCCTGATTACTCCTAGTCCAGGACTAGGTCATTAATTATCGTTTGTCTCGAGCAATCGTCGGTGTAATTATACGATTAGTCGGCCGACGCTTTGCCAAGAACTTGCGGATAACTCGCGAGGCGGAAACGTCTCCTCCAAGGTATTTCCTCTGCAACCCAACTTTTTCCCCCCGTATCCACTCGAGCTCGAGTTATAAAGTGATTTCAACGCGATTGAAACGAATCTCTGTATATAGAAAAATTAACGATCGTTAACGGATCGTTGTGACAATTTGTCTCCCATGCATAATTTAATAAACAGGTATAAATCTTCGCAATTCCTATAATTTCCAATTTCCAATTTAACCGTTCTCTAAATTGCAAATCTTCATTCGTCGTCTGTGCATAATAACGGGATTCCCTTCCTCCCCTTGCAACAAATCTCATTGTCGCCGAGACTGAAAATTTATATAACGGATGCGAAAACGCGAGTGGCATCTAGCCAGGGAGGGGGGAATTCTCGGAAGAGCGGAGAGGATAATTAGAGCTTATGGCCGTGCACGAGGGCAGGCGCGCACGAGATCGGTTTTGTGTAAACTGGACGAGAAGTGGAGGAGGGGGACGGATCGATGGCGGGAAGAGAGGAGGTGGAAAAGGAGAAGGAATCGGTGATACAAAAACGGCGATCCCTACATTCCGGCCATGTATGGCGTAGGCACACCTTATATGGGGCTATCACGTACGCACTCCTATCGAGGCAGCGGGGGGAGGGGGAGGGGGCAGCTTTACGCTTCTGTACAGCGCGCCACGGATCGGGCGGGAAAAAATGGGAAGGCGAGGAGAAGGCAAGGCAGTGTGTACACGTTCCCTGGGTGATATGATTTTTCAGTTTGGACAAAAAATGAAGAGGACGAGTGTTTCTTTCTTCACCGAAACAATAATAAATAGAAATGTTATGGAAATCATTTGGCTACCGAAATATTTGCCTTTAATTCTGTGAAACTGGTAAACGCGGTTTCTTGGGAAAAGATGTTGATTCTTTTCAAGAATCTTATTCGTCATTGCTTTTAATTCTGAATCGTAACTGGTTTTAAGAATTGTAAAATTAATGCGGCATTGGTGGCGGAAAGACATGTGTTTCCCATATCGAAGAATGAAGAATTTCCAGCGGGGCAACAATTTTCGACGCGAAAGAAGAGAGACATCTTATTCGTCCCGAATCGAAGCGACACTCGGATCGATAATATAAGAAAAGGTTCGTGTCCGCGATGGCATTAAACGGGAGAATCGAGGGAGTAAATCATTGGCGAATGAATGGTGCCGCGCGTTAAGTAGAAAACGCGGCCCCCGTAAATGGCAGTCCGCGGCTCCTAATACGGAACAATTACACGGAGATTTCAGGGAATAGACGCGCCTACACTTTCCCATGTCTCCTTCATTTCCAAAGATTTTTTTCACCCTATTCCACCCGACGATTTACCACCCGCTCGAAACGATTCGCTCTTACCACACGTATCGTAACGATAATGAATACCCGTGAAATTTTGCAATTCCCTCCGACAATAACGAGCAACGGTTTCTTCAGATCCATACCCATCTGGTGAACGGTAGACCTGGTGCCCTGAATCACAGCACGAGCCTGCAGGAATTCACGCAGGCGAGATACGTACGGCTTCGTCTTCAGGGTGTTCGACGTAACGGAGAGACGATCGCTGACAAAAGGCGCGCTTTCTACTCGATAAAGGAGATCAACGTCGGCGGAAGATGCCTGTGTTCCGGCCACGCTGGCAGATGTCGCTACAGCGTCCAACACGGGGTGAGTCCTTTGGAGAATGTTTTCCTTTTACAAATTTCAAATTCTCTCGTGATCGAGGTGGTTAATCGTTAACCCTCATCCGTCCATTCATTTTCTCGACTTGAAACGAAAAGATGAAATGAAAAGATGATTAATTTTATTAATCGCTTTGTTGAAAATAAATATATTCACGCGATAGATTACTCGGGTATTTTCCAAACGTATCGAATTTTGATTCGCATAGATTGTGTGATGTATAATTGTACGCAACGCGGGGGGGATCTAATAATACGTAATGTATTAGATTGACGTGTTTTCTGTAACAAATGTTACATATTTTATCCTTTAGCGTTTATTAAACGTGTACATTTCGTATTAAGAAAACGAAAAGTCGCGAAGCCTCGGATTAATTTTTCTACAAAATAACTAGGAATAACAATCTGTCAAATTGACACGAAGTACGGATGAGAGTTAATAATAATACCGTGTGATTTTCATAACTAACCGTGTATTTTATTTACTTTATTATAAGTTAAATATCAATAATATGTAATTTTTGCTACACGCACTTGTGCTTTGTAATTTGTCAACGCGCGTATTCCGTTTGTCAATCGTGTATACACGCGAGAGTATACGCGATAATTACGTTACATTAAATGTATTTGAAACTCGTACGAATTTTATGCCTTACGCGTTATCTCGAGGCGAGAGTTACGAGCCCTATAATTCACGCGTTTGACTCGTTTTAAATTAAAAGTCGTAAAATTCACATATTGACTCGGGATGAACGTTGCAAGTTCTGCAATTAACACGAGCGTGGTAGCGTTGCGAGATTTCCCGTCGAGGAATCACAACCGGATTCGTTCTTCCTCCTCTCTCGCCAACGTTGAAAACGTTTCTCGCTGGAAATTCAATAAAGCTTTTAATTAGAAAATTTTTTAACTAGAGACGACATTAATTTCGAATATCAAAATATTCTTTCGTTATTTCGTTATTCTTCTTCGCCTCTTCTTCTTCAAACAATATCACTATTCTCCTTTGCTAAAATAAATATATCCAACTGGTTTTGCGCCAACGGTAGACTCGTTTCGATACCTCTCTCTAATTTTATTCCAAACTAAAGAAGAGAATAAGTAATGTAAAGAGTGAAATCTGAAATCTTAATCGAACGATTCGTCGTTTAACGAAAAACGAAAAATTTAGAGAGAGCTTTAATAATCGCGAAAGAAGCGAACTTTTTACGAACAAGAGAAATTGAGCATTAATAACCCGTTGAAAAAGTTAAAACTTGTTAAAAATTTCGAGCTAAAATTTACCTCGAATAATTATTTATTATAGAAATAACATTCATCATTGTTACGTTTCGAACGATAAATCAACGGAGCAAGTTCAATTTTGTTGTTAAATTTTGCCCATCGGTGGCTTCCTGAGAGAGCGAATGATCGTCGCGCGTTTCCACTTCCTTTCGGACAATTTCCTCTCTAAAGTTAGACCGGGAATAATCTGCGATTCGAAGGAGCGGCCACCGAGGTCCAGGAAATAAATCTGTCGGAAATGCCATAAACTTGTCAGACCTTTGTCTACCGTCGCTACTAATGGCAGGATCGCCTTCGTTTCCAGTTCGTTCCCCCGTTAGAGATTGGCCACCGACTATCCCAGTTTCTTGCATCGTGGAACGAGTCGAACCAAATTTTTCGGACGTCGTTTTAACTTTTTCTTTTTTCTTTTTCCCCTATTCTGTCTCGCTAATGAGAGGTAAACGTTACAAGGAAGGAAGAAGGATTTAGGTCCTTCCTTCAGGATTTACGATCATTCTTGCGATTTCTCTTCCTGTCCGCGCGTAATTTTCCTCGAAAGGGGAAAGAACTTGCGTAATAATTGTCCCCGAAGATTAATTATTTTTGTGGGAAACTCATACAAAATCGATAATAAGAATCTCGTATATGTTATTAGTATCCAACAATAGCCACTAGTCTCGAGCTCGTTTCGATCCTCGCCGACTATTGTTGGTTAGTCGTATTGTATTGCGAAATATCGTTACGATGATGCACGTTGATCATTTTCTCGTTATTCGAAAAATTGGAAAAATCGTTTCTCAAAGTCACTCTCACTTCACGTTGTCATCGAACGCGAGTTTCTTTAAATCGTGTAACTCGAAAATTATTTATTCGTATACGTGAAAAAATAATGGACGATCGATGAACAACAAAATCAGACGGATGGTTGATCAAAATCGATTCACGATCGAAGCTCCCTCACCTTCGAATTCGATTAGAATCGAGTTTTGGCGTTGCTCACCGTAAATTGAATTAATGTTTTTTCGAACAGGCACGCGGGCCACGCCATATCGCGAATACGCATCGCTGAATACGAGGCGGGTTGCCCTTCAAGTATCCCAGATATTCTCCGCGTTTTACGTCTCAATTAAATTATCATCGTTCGTCGTGCAACCCTTCACTCCTCCCCCCTCGATATTTCTCGATGCTTTGATCGATCGAGTTTGGTGGTATCGATCGAAAAAAAAGAAAACATCGATCGCATAAAGTACGGACACGCTGGATCGGTGGCAGTTTATTAGAATTAAAAAAAAAGATAAAAAGAAAAAGAATCGTGGAATCATTCTCGTATTATTGCGGGGCGCGCAACTGACGTTAATTAAAGACTGGGTGCATCGATCTCACTAAATCATTCGATAACGTTTCATTGAAGTAGCCAGTCGTTAACCGTTTTCCTCCCAGAGGGGGAGATGGATACGTCGTCTATTCTGTGTCGTGAATGGTCATTAATGGAAACACAATGAGGCCTGTGATGCGTGGTAAAAAAGAAAAAAAAAAAAAAAAGAAAAGAAAAGAGAAAAGCGTGAGTTTCTGATTCACCAGCTCTCCCATCTGGTGCTGAGAATATCTCCCGAGTTACCGTATAATAAACACGTCTCGTAAAGCGTTATCGCTTTATGGGTTTGTAATATCGCTCGTAGTGTACGATGGATCTTCCTCACAATGGATCTTTAATAATTTATTAAGATCCGCGCGCTGTATGAATCGCGCGTATTCTTGGAATGGAAATTCATCTTCCATTCAATTTGCAATTTATTCGTTTATTTGTTTTCTTTTTTCTTTTGCTACATAGTCTGGCAATATTGTTATCCAGATATGGGAAAAGATTGGAAAAATTTCTTGTTATATTCGATGCAAAAAAAAAAAGGAATCCTATGTACTCTTTTTTCTCGAGACGAAGAAGCGCGGTCGATAAATTTAAACAGAGAAAACAGAGGGTTAAACTCCGGCTACGCTTCCTTCGATTATTTTATAATCCAAATTCGAACCAATATTTATTCATCCTATCGAAGATAAAAACGAAATATTCGAAATTACGTCACGATAATTTAAAAATTTCATTCTATCGCTGCACGGTTCGTCGGTCGAATAATCGAAAAGGAGAGAAGCGAGATCCGCTCGTGGAGATCGATCCCGTGGACAGCTCGATCACGAATAAAATAAAAATGGAATCCGCGTGCGAATTAATGCGGCCGATAACGGGGAATCTTGACGCTGGTAAATAAATTTCGAAACGTCGGAAAGAGGAGATTGCGGAGGGGCGTGCGCAATACCGGATATCTGTATCGCGGGATACACGCAATAAAGAAGCATCTTGGCCGTGTCGCGATTTATAAAGCACGCCCGCCGATATCCATTACGTCTTCCGTGTTAATTGATTCGATGCTCGATGAGAGAAGCTCCGCTGGAAAGCGGAAGCGCGGTATCACCGGTTCACCCATCACTTTCTTCCTTTTTCGCCATACGTTTATCGCGAAGGTTTTATCGTTCGTTCCTTGGAAATGATGCGATTAACGCGTAATTATTTTCTGCGAGGATTGTTATCGTTGTATGCGGGATCTATCTTTTTTTTTTCTTCTTTCTTTCTAGAAACATCGTTATTGGATTAATTGTATCCATTGTGCGTAGAATAATCGTCCAGAATATTATTATATATCAACGTTGATTTTCTTTTCACGTCGAATATATGTGAATATTTTTTAATATTTAATAATTACGGATGAATATATAACGCGTTAATGTAAAAGACGATTCTCTTCTATGTAGAATTTTTCTCGATCGTGAAAAGTAACGTTTTAAAATTTAAAACGATAATTTGATAAACATATGGAAGTATCTTTAACGCAAGTAATGAGTAAGTCTCGAAAAAAAAAAAAAATTGAAGCACAACATGCGTCGCATATGCGTGACGCTTGGTAGCTAATAAAGGGTTAAACTTTTCTACCGATTCATCGCGAAGACGAATATAATTTCGTAATAATTTCTATCCTTTCTCCAATATTCCAACGAGTACATCATTCGTTCTGTTCCATTGTTATTTTATATTCCCAAAAAAAAAGAAAGAAAAAGTGTAGTAAAACGACATAGTTTACCCAAGATTCGATGGAGAATCATCGAGTCGTTATCCCCAACAAGAGATAAAAGAATCGAGTATTTCACATATTCATTTCGAAGAAGATTAATAAGGTCGCATTATAAGAGGTGGTATTGTATATTTCGTAGCATCAAGAATGCGAATGCGAGCGCCACACGTGCGGCGAAAGATGCGAAAAATGCTGTCCCATGTACAATCAAATTCCGTGGAAACCTGGCACAGCTGCGAAGGGCTTTCACTGTGAGAAATGCAACTGCAATGGACATGCAACCTCGTGCAGATATGATCAGGATGTGGCCGATGGAAGAATGTCCATGGACATTCGTGGGAAATTTCGTGGCGGTGGCGTCTGCATTAATTGCACAGTAAGCCCGAATTTCTCGAGTCTCGTATTACGTGAAATTTTCGTTCGGGGGAGGGGATTGTTCGAGGAAAATAAAACGCGGGAATTAGATTTCTGAATTTTTCGAATAGTCGTACGATTAATCGTGTGAACGTGGATTGCAACAAATTTTGCATCTTTTGTTATTATTTTTGTATTCTTGTCTCTTTTTGAACTAAATTCCTTCCATTCCTGTATAAATTCTGTGCTGTAGAATTGGCATCTACACTGTGCTTCCTTAGTTACAAATGGAATCTTTGTATTCGTCAAATCCAATCCAAAACTTTCTACTCAAAGTTTCGTTTTTCTTAATCAATTCTTCTTCTATTAACTCTTCTATTGGAAAAAATTCATTCTACTCTAACAACTAATATACAGATTCCATTGTATATATATATATGTCTAAAATAATTTTAAGATTTCAGATTTATTAACATTCGTCGGGTAAAATGATGTGTTCCAGGAGCACACGGATGGAATCAATTGCGAGAAGTGTCGAGTTGGTTATTACAGGCCAAACGGGATTACCCCTGATGCACCTGAACCGTGCTTGCCCTGCGACTGCAACGAGCACGGTAGCACGGGTTACTGCACCCCGGATGATTCCTATACGCACATGGGAAAGGTATGCACGTGAAATTATACCGTCTCAAGAAAGATCTCAAAATTTTTTATTTTTTAATAAAACGTTTAATTAAAATCGAAATTACAACATATTTTAACTCGACCAACTTTTACTCTTCGAAAGATATAGAGGAAAAGTCTCGAGAGGTTCACACCCTTTTTGAATAAAACACTCAACTAGATTCCACTATTTTTTTTTTTTATAAATTCCAACGTTGTAACTTCAAAATTGAAATTACAATGTATATTTTGTAACTAAATATTGGCCAACGAACTTTTATTCTTCTAACAATATAGAAAGTAGTTTTTTTTTTTACATTCAACAACGAAACTAAATGTATAAATATTAATTTTTGTACCATTCGCGAGTTTAAACACCGATCGTGTTCCAGGTAGCAGGCGCTTGTGATTGCAAACCGGGTTACTCGGGGTACAAGTGCGACCAGTGCGCTGCCGGTTACCGCCAGTTCCCCGATTGCATGCCCTGCCCATGCGATTCCCGCGGGATCCTCCCATCCCACGATTGCGAAGGCGATTGTCTTTGCAAGGCGAACGTCGCCGGCGAGTTGTGCGACCAGTGCAAACCGGGACATTTCGCGCTCACCAAGGAGAATCTCGATGGATGCCTTCCCTGTTACTGTTTCGGGATCACCGATCGCTGTTCCATCGCTAGATTGTCCTATTCTGCGGTAGGTTTGTTTGAAAGATCGTTCGACAATGTATACCTGGAATCGGAAGAAGGCGACACCAATTACTTTTTATCGAGAGTGTAACGAAATATCAATTACACCGTCGGTAACGTGGATCGAAAGTGATCAACCTGGCTTGGTGTTGTATAGCATTGAAATTTATACGCAGGTTCGTTCAAGCGATCAAAGAAATGAAAAGGTCGTGGCTTCGCGAGAAACGTATGGAAGGAGAATGGAAAGTAACGGGGTTATCGAAGTATCGAAGAAAAATCCGTATTTCGAGAACACGCTTAACGAGAAACTTACGACTGACAAGCGTAGAATGATCGTTAACCGTAGAAGGAACTAACGAGCATTTAAAAAAAGTATTCGAATAAGAAATACGCAATATGTGTAATATGTATTTCATTCACGTTGCATTGGTGAAAGTAATTAAAATTACAACATCCGATCCACTTGGGTTTGAACACCCGAGTCTTGCCACGGACCCGCCGCTCAGGCAGGTTTCAACGTGAGATGGATATCTGCATTTATCTACTCACGAGTAAACGACGACGAGTGGGCAATTATTTTATCGCATGACAACTTTCCCGTGTTGCATGTTGTACATCGAGTACTATTATCAATATAATAGCACGTTGTTATCGTTTTAACGCGAAAGAGGGAAAATTGAATAGGGGAAATTAAATCCCTAGTAAATTGTATTTCGAAACGAAATGTTAATTTATTTTCTTTCAATTTACGATTTATTATTATTATTTTTTAATATTTCAAAAAATTATTCACCTTTAATAACGTTTCATTCGGATGATCCATTCTCGTCAATTATTTTCAGATATCCTCGATGGAGAATTGGCTGGTGACCGACATGAACGCAACCCGCGCGATTGTTCCTATTTTGGACACGGATAACGGGTGGCTCACGATCGCAGCGTTCGACGTCGAATACGATAGTCCGTTCTGGTTAGCTCCGCGAATTTATTGCGGTAATCGAATCTCGGCTTACGGCAGCAATCTTACTTATTCCGTAAGCTGGATCGTTATGCGCGGTGACACCAGTGGAAAACCTACCACGGGACCCAACGTTATTCTTGTCGTAAATATATATTCTTAATATCGAATGATAATTGAAATTAGACGCTTGAATATATGAAAAGTGTATTTGACTATTTGACTATCTTTTTTATTCTTCTCGTATCCTTTTAGGTCTTCAATTTGCCCTGACAGGATTAGATTACGTTATTTTTATTTCTTCTTTTCTTTTCGTTTCTTTTCTCCTTTCTTATTAATCTTCCCTTCGTCTCGTTTCCTTACAGGGTAATAATGGGATGCGAATAGCTTACGGCGAGGAACAATATAATGGGCAGGAAGCGGAGATCATGGTGCCTCTACGCGAAAATGGCTGGTATCACGTACGCGGCGAGATTCAAGATATACCTACTAGGTTGAGAAGAACCGAATTTCGCGGAGATTCCGTTAGCAGAGTACAAATGATGAACGTTCTCACGGATTTGAAGTATCTTTTGATAAGAGCGCAATATCATTCCGAGCAGATCGAGGGAAGGTATGTAAAAACGTTGTTGAGTGGATATAAATAAGGATATAGAAGTAAAACTCGCGCTGTTCCCATTATACGTAAACAAGTTTTTGTGTACACAGAGGAGAAATTCTTCTGCGAATATGATCTGAAATTCAAGGTTAAATATGTTTATATGTTTATATATATACACACACACACACACACGTTTCAGTTTACAGTCAGCAGTCCTATCGACCGGAGAGGTTTCGTCCGATGGCGAGAATAATAATTTGGTCGAGAGCTGCGAATGTCCTCAAGGATATACCGGCTTGTCTTGTGAAAATTGTGCTTGGGGTTACGTAAAATTAATCAAAAACGGATCTGATTATCAAGATCATCACGTGTGCGTAAAATGCGATTGTAATGGGCACGCGAGTACCTGTGATCTTGTTCTCGGAGAATGCACGGTGAGTACTTTTATATTTATTCTTCAAATTATTAAATTAGATATTTTTTTCAACGATACGTGTTTTATTTCGTAATAAAATAATTGCTCGATATCGCGAAGAAAAACGCGGAATCGTCGAAAAATGTCTTTTCGAAAGAAAATTGTATTTCGTTCGTGGCCATGTGCTAGGACACGCGTATAGACAAGGAGAGAAAGTAGTGAGAAAAGGATAGAGATAGGGTAAAAATATTGAAGTCAGCGCCATCTTCAGTGTGCCGCAAATGAAACTCGGTGGGCAAGGACAGAAAATGGAAGGAAAAGGATAGAGATAGGGTAGGAATTGGCCACCAGCGCCATCTCTCGAGCGTTAAAGATATCTTTTCGACCGTAAATCTTTCGAAAGTACTCGAAAGATGGCGCCACTGTTCGATTCTTACTCTACCTTATCTTGCTTCCCTAAAGAGATGTCTGCGATACTCGAGAGATGGCGCCAACGATCGATTCCTGTCCCTATCTCTATCCTTTTCTTTCTATTTTCTATCCTTGCCTACCGAGTTTCATTTGCGGCACACTGAAGATGGCGCTGATTTCAATATTTTTACCCTATCTCCGTCCTTCTCTAACTAATAGTTATCCTTGTCTCTACACTCGCTTTAATTTCACAACGCTAAAATTTATACGTTCAAGAGAATTCCGACAATTTATCAATTTTATCATTTTTTTTCCTCTGCCTAACTTTTCGATTAAAGATCGTAACACACTCCATCCTCGAAATTTCTCTTTTAATCGGCCGACAAAGTATTTCGAACTTCAAATCAATTTTATTTTTATTCGATAGATCTGCGAACATAACACCGTGGGCCCGAAATGCGATCGCTGCGCGCCCGGTTTTTACGGCATTGCTCTGAAAGGCACACCGAACGATTGCAAAAGATGCGCCTGCCCACTTTTGATCGAGAGCAACAATTTCAGTCCAAACTGTCAACTCGATGATCCTACAGACGTAGATAGCGGATACGTGTGCACTCAATGTCCAAACGGTTACACCGGCGATCATTGCGAAAGGTAAATAAACTCTCACGTAACGGAATGGATAAATGCAATTATATTTTCGTATTGCACGGTCAAATCAATCATCCGATCCGTTGTGAAAATACGAGAATCCCTCGAGAACATAATTTGAAAAATTTTAACGATATCGACCGAAACTTGAATTGAATTTTATCTCGAAAGCTGCGACGTAGGATTCTTTGGAAATCCTTTGATACCCGGTGGCACGTGCGAACCCTGTTTCTGCGGCGGCGGCCCTTGCGATCAGGAAACCGGACGCTGCTTGGAGTGTCGTGGTAACACGGAAGGCTGGAAATGCGACAAATGTAAACCAGCTCATTACGGAAATCCCTTGGAACAGAGCTGTTTGCGTGAGTATCGTCGATTACTTCTGGTTCGTTATTTCATCGACACCAGCACGCGATATCGTGGATATCGAGGCGATTCTTGAACATTTCGATCTCTCTAAATCTGCAATATTTCATGCAAATTACACCATCCGTATATATTTAATAAAGAGGGAGTTGTGTGGTTTAAACAATCTTTTCCCGATTAGAACGAAAAAAGAGAACGAATCCTTAGAGTCGGCGATAAGCTAATGACGAACCAAGATACAGAAACATAAGAGTTTCCAATTTCAAAATACATATTTCATCATTAACAGTACGTGTACACCGGCGCAAAATTTTACACGCGTATCTCGTATACACACGCGTCAAACGTTAAATTATCCGGATCATTCCTACGTATATTTTGCATATATTTCAAGATATATACGTTACGCTTGCAAACATCTTGATTATCGTTTCGAATTAAAAAAAAAAAAAAAAAAAAAAAAACAAAGAAAAACTCGACGATCTTAAAGATGAACATCAACAACAAGTTCACCTTTCTCTTAACAATAAAACTGATCGATCTTTCTTCGATTTAAAATACGCAATAATTATAAAATCATTCACATTTCAAAGAATCCCCCTCCCCCCCCTCTTTTCATCGATCCAATAATCTAAACGCTTCTCGCAGCGTGCAACTGCGATCCTGGGGGCAGCAATTCCCTCGAGTGCGACGAGAAGAGCGGCCAGTGTCCCTGCAAGCCTTTGTTCGAGGGTCGCGACTGTTCCTCCTGCGTCGAAGGTTACGGGAACGTGACCGCGGGTTGCCGGGAATGCGACTGCGACGTGGGTGCCCTCGACGAGGTCTGCGATCCCGTCACAGGCGAGTGCAGGTGCGCGGACGGCGTCCTTGGCTTCCGCTGCGACCGTTGCCACCCCGATCATTACGGATTATCCGCGGATGGCTGCAAAGGTAAGTACCCTCTTCTCTCCATATTTTCCCCCCTTTTTTTCGATTTCCTATTCTTTGAAAAGAAAAATCGCGCAATACGAACAAGGCGTCGTCTTGTTTCAACCAGGCCGCGTTTATCTCGAGTACGGCCACTTATCCGATGGACGGACAGCGGTCGAGGACATGTTGCTCGAGATTTACAAGAGCACAGCTATCCTTGCGGTTTACCGTTTCGATCCACGACCAACCAATATCTTTTCCCGAGGAAAATATTTTCGTGTCGTTAATCAAATTTGCGCTTGAACGGTGATGATCGATATTTATTTACGTTCGACTTTCTTAAAATCGAGCCTCACCAAGATAGATTCTTCTTTACGTGTAATCTCGGAAAGAGTATACCATCGAATGAAATTAAATGATCGAACTACATTTTCGATGTTTGACGTTGGTCAATGGTGGTAGAAATATTATTTTCAAAGTTGAGTTTAAGTTTTGTATTGCATGGTAATGAAATTAGTTCGGGCGAGTTTGATTTTTCCTTATTAAATAACGAAATTATTTCTATTCGTTAAGTAACTGACGATAGATAAAATAAGAAAGATGAGAGACATTTTATCGCGATACTGTCGCGATGCATCTTGGCAATTTATCATTAAAATATCGCACGAAACAACAATATAAATTTTTCTTCTTTGTATGTAAAGATACATAAAATATCGAGATACAAATGTTCAATACGTTAATTTGTGCGTGAAATCATTTCAAGTTAGAAATTCACCGAATCATGTGGAGTTCGAAAAAGGTTCTGGAGGGCAAAGGGTTAATTTATCTCTTAATTTTATCGATTCGTATGATCGAAACAACGCGTGTTCCGTTGTGATCGCAGCCTTAAATCGGTTGGTAGCTCGGAGGATTGGGCCGGTGGATCAGCTAGGATCCCATAAATCGTAATCATTCGGCGAACGATCGCGCTTTGCTCGTGATCCAACCGTGGATCGTAATCCAGTTGCGTAATCCACTCGCTGGATCCCGTTACTCGAAAGATCGATCGATCCACCCATCGCGACCGCGAGATCGATGCAGTCGGTCGTCTCATTTTTCCCCTTCTCTCTCTCTCTCTCTCTCCCCCTCGTTTCGTTTTAAAACGAACGGACAAATCGCTGGACAATCGAGATATCATCGTTGTTTTACATTTAGAAATATCAAATTTTAACTTCGATGTGTATATATATTCTCTCAATGAAGCGCCTATGCAAAAAAAAAAAAAAAAGAGGAATTTATCGTTTTCGCGATCTTATCCTCGGCCGGTGAAATCGAATCCTTATTTACGATTAATCGAGGCGCACCGTATCTCTCAACAGGACACAGCGGGGACAGATATCGTATAAGATACACGAGCCATTCCAGTCTCTCTACTTGCCCGCCAGATGTTAATTATCTTCCTACCATACCCGATACGACAACAACAAACCAAACGTTCCTCTTTCCTACGCGTGAATCACCCTTTATATTTCCATATACACGTGTATATATACTTTGGACAGGAGGATTACATTTCTCCATTCCCGGAAATGATGAAAACTCGGCCGGTGGCCGCATTGTGCGCTATCCAACGCTTCGAGTTTATACCCGGCACGAAGGCATAGATATTCGACCGCGCATCCTTTACCGTAACGTAAACGCGCTGGTCAAACACGAGTATAGCAGTGGTGGGGAGAGAATCGTTTCCACAAAGTATCGAGGCTTGTTTCGCGTCCGACTCGAGTCGAAGTTTACAAGTGGACCCGAGTTCGCATTTCAAGCGAAACGACACCACGGCGGTTGGGGGGGAATGGCGGGACGAGCTCTCGTATTCGCGATATAACTTGCTATTGGCGGCTTTTTCGAGAGAGAGGAATGAAACGTACGTCGCGCGAGCGAATTTTTCATTCGTTTTCAGAGTTGAGGAATATGTTGGAGTGCGAATTCTAATTCTGAAAATTCCTCCCGCGATAGACACGTGACTTTTTTTTCTCTACAATTAATGGTAAGGAATGGAAGAAAAAGGAAAATTGTAAACAAGATTTAACGATAAAATTTTGTATATTTTGAAATTTTACGAGAACGATAGAAACTAGTGATAAAATGATATAACGAAAATTCGAATCATTCTGATAATTTTTTTTCTGCAATTAACGATAAAGAACGGAAGAAAGTATGGCAATATACACGTGCAAAGGAAAACACTTTGAACCTCGAAGTGCAGAAAGGATTTCACGACAAAATTCCGTGATATTGTAATTTTGCACTTTGCTATAATAAAATGATACGATCTCGCGAAGGTAGATAAAGCGTTTTCAAAACGAATCGTTCGTATTCCAATGATAACTTTATCCGCATAGTAGAAACGAATGGAATAATAAAAATTCCGTCGCGAACGTATTCCGTATTCTAGAAAGCTTTTTCCACAAAGCTCGCAACAACGCTCGAGCCATCGGAATTCGTGGCTCGACAAAACGTACAATTTAAATCACGTGGAGCGGCCACTCGTTAAAATCCACTCGGTCCTCGATTAAACCGTCGAAAAAATGAAGACACGGGCGCGACATACCATTGTAACGTATCTAATATCTCCACCCAGTTTTCGAGGGGCCACTCCCTACGCACGAATCTCGCTAGGTGGCTCGCCGCGAAACGGACGTCCAACGACAATCGCGCTCTATAAACGCTCTCGAGGGGGTCGACGATTATCACTCCTTGCAGCCTTGGCCACGCCGTTTTCGCGGTTCTCGAGTTTCCATCGCGCCGATCTCTCTCTCTCTCCACCCACGCCCCATTCCGATCTAAGCACAGCGCGGAACAACAAAGTATGTTTTGCACGTTTCCAAAAAACGAAAACCGAGAGATACGGTTTCGAACGTTTTATTATAAAGACCATCTCGAATTAACGATCGAAGGAAGAGGAAATTTTTTTCCTCGATTCCTGTAGATAGAGAGGCTGAGTGGTATAAAATTTTGGAATAGGAAGGGAATAGATCTAGCCTACTTTCTACAAATTCTACGTTTTATTTCCACGTCGTCCTTTTCGCGTTCACAGCGTGCGCACGCCATTATCGTGGTGGACGAGATAAAAGCTTCGTGTTCCGACTGTTTTCCAATTCCCTCGCGATCTGGTTCTCATCACGCGGCGTGGGCACCTATCATCAACCGATCCACGCCTTATCTTATCGTGCTCGCGGAAGGATCGAAACAGTTATTAGGGAAGGGTGCAACGAACACGGAATTAGCCGACTTATGCAGCTGGGAACCGGACGAACGAGAGGATAAATAATCAAACGGGGTTGAAAGGATCGATAAGTAATCGTTTATAATAAGTCACGTTTATATCCGTGCCGAGTAACGTGGCAAGAAAAATATATATCGAACGAAACCTCTTTTCGATTATAACGTGAGATTAGAAATATTAACCCTTAGCGTTTCTCGAGTACTGCCTACCAGCAATTCCGGCACATTTTTGGAGCGGAGAGGAAAGCAAGTCTTTCTGCGTAATTGTTGGTTTCTTTTATAATTTCATTTACCAATTCGTCCGTGAAAAATAATTTAAAATATTGTATCGGCTGTTCAATATTTGTAGGAACTTGTTGTCCAATGACTTGTGGCAATACATTAAAAGATATTCTGTCTGAAATATGTAATTCTTCCGTAACATCGCGCCATTCATCTAAGTCTTGTAACGAATCTTCGCTTTCACTTTCAATTCAATTCTCATTCTTCGTCTCTTTGGTAGTATAATTTCGCTATTACTACTCGAAGTGTCAGAATCATAACCAACATTGTCTTCCAGACAATAATGTCTTTTAACTCTTCAAAATCGAACACGTATCTTCTAATAAATTCAGCTCTAAATTCTCATCATATAATATTCATTTTTCTTCATGTTGCTAACCATAGAAAAGATCAAAAAATGGTTTAATCGTAATGGTACAGACTTAGCACGTTTTTAACTACACAGACAACAATTGCTAACGCCGACGATAACGCGTGCTAAAAAACATTTGGCAGCGGAGCCTTCGAAGTTACGGAACAAATGACAAATGTCTTCGTAGCGGAGCTACGTTAAGAGTTAATAAAATAAATACAATAATTTTATTGTTCGCGGGTGAGTACAAGAGTATCTATATCTATTACTATAAAACGTAATATTTGTAACCGTGCGCGTGTTTTCGGTAGAAGCGCCGCTTAAAGTCGCCGCCACTAAGTCATTTCTTCTCCGCTGTGGCGGAGGGGGCGGAGAGAAGAAAAGACGGACTTCCCTCCATTCTCGAGCCCGGCTTATCGATCGAGCCGCACGATAAAACGTCATTCCCTTTTTAAATCGGCACCGATACACAATACGAAGTGGCGGCGATCCACCGCCCCGATAACGATCCTTCTGTATAAGGACCCCTCGCGGACAGTGACACGGAGGCGACATTTCGTGCTCCCCCCCCCCCGTCTCTCCCTTCTTGCTTCTTCTTCCCTCCCCTTCTCGCTCGCGCGCTTTCCCCTTTCCCTCTCGATCCACGCCGCAAAAACTCGACGAAACCGCGGAATGCCGTCCACGAGCGCTCCTCCTCTCCCCCCCCCCTTCGTCCTCCTCTTGTATCCTCGCGGATTGTTACACTTTCCTTTCATTCACGATTTTAATCACGACCTCTTCTCTCTCAAATTGCAAAAATTGCTCGGCGGAGGAATATCGAGCGACGAAAGCAACAACGATTGTTATCGTAAGATCGAAAGCTTCTCTCTCTCTCTCTCTCTCTCTCTCTGTCCTCTGTGGGAGGAGAGTGATTCGCGCTGAACATCGGAGGGAAATCCGTAGGATTTAATTGGCGATCCCCTCCGCGTCGCGTTCTGCGCGAGTGGCGCGCGAGTTTCTCTAGCGAGCACGTACCCTCGCTAATGATGCAATCGGCCCATCAGATAGCCCTCGACCGGCTGCTCCTTATTTCCTCGCTCCTTGTGTGTATACCTTATATATATACCCACCTGATCATCCCGTG